GTAAGAGATAAAGATATTTTTCCACGGGAAGCATACGTATGTATTCTAAGTGCGTTGTTGTCATCTGCAAGCGCGTGCGGGGCAATTTTTATGTAACCATTATTTTTGCACGCGCAGAATGGCAATCGGTGGCTCCGTTTAATGGCGACGGTACATTGGATACGCGTCGGGAATCGTTTCATCACGTCCGGTCTGATTGCCTATAATATCGACCGCGTGCACCATCGCGTCGCGACTCTCCCTGCAACTTCTGCATCCATTTACTGTTTGGTTTATTATAGCTGTCGATTGGCGATACGAGTAGAATGTGAACTCGCGTGGAAGTTCGTCAAGTACCCGGATCTGAATCCTCCTCTAGTGTCATGCCTCCAGTCTGCAGGATTGACTGACGAAATTGAATTTAGAATTCGCGAGAGATTTCTTTTTCGCGCAACGAAATATCTAAGAGCGGCTATGTATGTCAAGCTGTAAATATAATAGTTCAATTGGAGGGGTCGATTCTAATTTAACGACGATAGGGAAGATGGCAGTTTCCGACAGTCCGACTGTCTAAATTTCCGATATGCGAGATTAAATATTATAGGGGTTTATTCCTTAATAATTTATAATCCAAACCACTTCGTCTTGTTTCTCTAGCACTAAAAGTATCCACGATGATCAATTGCATAATCGTACTTCACAGTTAGCCATGAATCCCAGTTTGCGTTATAACATCCGGAGTATCATTTACGAACTCTCGTAGAGTGCACTACATTCGAATATCTCCTCAACGTCGTCATGATAGCAGCAGTCTACGAATTCATAATTCACGTTCACCAGAATGACTCTCAGGTGTCATGAGTCACGATCATTGTCTCTATAGGTGTATAGAATCGAACTGTGTCATAGGTATCGAAGCGCGCTAAATCGTTTGGTGGTATCCGGTGTACGGCGTCGTATCGATCCGCGCGTGGCTTGGCTCGGCTCAGCCTCGAATTTCACGCGATAGCAAAGGCAGATACCGTATGCGACGAAGGGAAACGGCGCGCTCGTTCGCTGGACGTGCTCAAAACGCCGTTTAGGAGCCTTAAACCCAGAGCATACACGTATAGAGAGAAATTGTGTGTGTCTGTGTGAGTTGGAGCCCCACCCGGATATCCAGTTTGCCAAACGCCGGTTGTTTTTGTTCGCGCGTTGCACGAACTGAAACCCCCTTCGGCTTGGTCACGCACACAAGCGCCGCGCGGGCCACGGGCACACGCACGCGGCACACGCGGCAGAGTCGAGAGCGTGTGGATGGTTGGAGGACGAGCGATCTACGTGTCCGGGCGGCAGGACCCTCATCGCGGTCGTCAGCAACCGGGGGAGGTTGGGACACGGGCTCAGCCAGGGGTTGGGGGCCACGACAATGCCCCACCCCGGGTTCTGGTATCGATCTGTCGCAACGAAAGTCGAGATACCGGCCTGAAAGTATCAGCTGGACGGATAAGCCTGAATTATATACCGCGCCTCTCCTTCTATTCCGTCGTCCTCGCTCTCTTTCTCTTGTTCCGTACGTAACGTTTTCCTCGCCGTCGTGCGTGACTCTTATGTACGCGAACGAACCCGAGTTCTGCGTCGCGTGGATCGTTCGCTCGCGGCGCCTGAACAAAGATTTCCTACGACATCCACCTCGTTCATTCAAAATTCATTTTGGATAAGTTTCTAAAACCGTATTCTGGATTGCAAGATTTATCTTTGACGTGTGAGGTTCATTTATGCCCGTAGTCATCGGTTTGCCTTGGAACTTTTTCACGCAGGTAACTACATACGCATGAAGCGAATTGCAGCAGTGATCCAACACGCTTCGAAGACAACGTAATATCAGTAACATTCGTAACGTTCCGTTCACTACTCTAGCCAAGATCTAGAACAAAGTTTCTGTATTTGCCACGCCGGTATCACTCGGGTCGGGCTGTTCAAGTAGAACGTCAAACATTCATAATCCGTACCTCAACCCTTGCTCCGAATCAACCTCAAATATTCGCAAAATCACCTTTCCATTTAGGGTTATTCTACGAGTCAGGCATCGATCATTCTACACGTAGATAACGTTTTCACGAAACCAGGTGATCCCGAGGGCGTTGAAACGTAATCCAACAACGAGTAAACTTGACAATTGTGTCATGGCGTGTACTTGTTGTCTGTTAGATAGTGAATAAAGTTTGAGTGGTTTTTTTATTCGTATGATTGGCAAAGCGATTTCCATCTGAATACAGATTAGCGAATACGTTATAAAGTTGGCTTTATTTAAAAGTTCAATCTTTGTATATAGATAATTGGTCTCTGGTTCCCAGTTGTTTCATCTCTCCAATTGTAACTTTACTGAACGAAATCATGTTTTAAGAGAGGTGCGTGCGTATAAATTTTGTTCTAAAAAACCTGACGAACTTTTCCGGCACCTAATTCGTAGCGGAAAACGTGTGCGGGACATCATGGAATCGACTTTCGCAGACCTCTAGAACTCGTTCGTGTTTCTTTGGGTAAGTGTTGTACGGTACGTGCGAAAAACGAACAGGAAGGCGAACATGTCGGAATTTTTTTGGTTCACAGACACTGACATTTGGTTCTTGTTTGAAGACGCGCGATAAATAGTAGTACACTACGTGTACGTGTACCGCGTGGCATTTCGCGTTCCGGTTCTACGCGAAAGTTCAGTAGCTACGTTTATCATGCTTGGTTTCGTGTCTAGTCTCGATTGGATCGCGCCATTCAAGCTTCGGTTCGGTTTTGAACTCGATCGGGCGATAACAAACCTGTTCAGTTTTCTATTTAGTGATTTTGGCTGTACTGATTTCGGATGTACTTGAGTTAATAGCAGAGTCAAACAATTAACTACCATGGTTCGATTTTATTATTTCTAATCATGGTCTTCGATTATGATTAAAATGGAAGTAAAATACAAATTCTATGCATCGCTTCATTTTATAAAAAAAAAAAGTGATAATAATGGTACGAAAATGTTAATCGGATTTATACGATAGTTGCGGATAGTACGAAAGTGAGATTGCAAGGTCGAAACGAGTTAGGCTGGCATTAAACACAAAATGCGCTCAATCAATCGATATCGAGAACAGAGGCTGCACTCTGTCATTAACATTTATTGTTTTCCGTAGGACAATCATACGGAGCTGTGTGAAAGACTGGATTTTAAGGGAGGTAAAAATTATGAAAAAGAAAAATAAAACAAAAGACGCGTGGTACGATGAAAGAGAGAGTGAATGAAAATGGAAAGGGTACGACTTTTCGCAACTGTACTTTATTCTTCGAATTTCTTCGAGAACTGTTGGTTGCCTAAGCATTGCTCACGAACTTGTTACCCTATGTACGCGGTACATAATATGAAGTTGGCC